ATCTACAATCCAGGTGAGTGGAAGCCCTAGGCGGCTTGCGATCATCCATTGAAGCACACATTTGACCACACCAGCATCCTGCTCTATCGCCATCATTCGTATCGCCTCACTAGAGGACTCCTTCGTATTGGAAACGCTTTTCCGGCAATCAGTCCACCCTCTTGTTCTCACACAGGCCATCGAGAGATGACACAAGCTCTCGGCGAATCATCTCGCGCTTGACCAACGGCTGCGTTGCTCTATTGCCAATTCCGAACACGAGCCCGCGGCCATCTCGTGAGCTCTGAACGCAACCCCGCCCTTGGACCCTAGGATAGGCACGCGACCCCTCGCTCTTGGGAGGGATAGAATATGACTTCAGACGTCGTAGGGGGACATTACAAGAGACCTCTCTCTTACTTCGAAACTCCTTTCTGAGTGCTCATGATTGACCCCTCGACATCCGCCGCAATGGAAAACAAGCAAGAAACCCCGACAACAGCCCTTCCCACCACCACAACCACCTCTGGGAGCGGCGTGGGTGCGTCCCACCGTCGCTCGAGCAGCGGTATCTCGGACGACGCGGCCAAGTCGGCTCACGACTTCATGGCGGGCACCATCCGCCGCTCGTCCAGCGGCGTGACCGACGACGCAGCCCGCGCCGCGCACGACTTTATGCGCTTCTCCAGCAACAGAGCCCCGGGCCTGAATGACGACCTTACCCAGAAGATGCACAGCTTCATGGAAGGTCCCGCCACGCACAGGGAGAGCCATAGCAAATACCTGCCCGATGTCACGTTGCCAGGCATCACGGACGAAGTGGTTGAGGAAGCCGTCGAGTTTGTGGATGCCGTCGAGAAGAGCGCATCAAAGGCTTGAGCCTCTCCCCATGCAATTCGCTCTTGAAAAGGGGTGCACGTGTATATGATTGTACAAGATGTACAAGCTGTAACTTGAACACAGCGTTTATTGCCGGTGTGGGATGGCCGATTTGGTCATCTAGCTCGCTGTGTGGCTGGAAAAGGGGAAAAGTCGCCTGTATGACCAAATTGCCGAATGAACGTCTACAAACAATCAAGCTGGGTTGCGTTGTTGTGTTTGGATTGTTGGCGCGGGATAGGGGTCCTATTTCCTTGTTGCGTCTATATATCAAAAAGGGGAACTGTATCAGATGTTCATATCCCTACGACCACCGTCGACAAAGGGAGGAAAAAGGGCAGAGTAAGAGGTAGTTAACTATCAAAACACTTGCCCGAGCCATATAATTGATGGGGAAAGAATTACTTAACCCCCCTCATTTCTGTCTCTCTCTATATCTCTTCTCCCTCCCTCCCTTTTTCTTAGTATCACCCCCTCTCATACTCTTCCTGCTTACTGCTCATTGCTCACACCTCCTCTTGGTTTAATGATATTGAATCTCAAGGAGAAGGGGGGTTATGTGAACTGCCTAGTCTTGTCGAGTCGAGATTAAACCAGATTGAATCGGATCGAGATCAGATCAAAGGTCCGTCGCTGCGGCTGAGAAGAGTTGACCGGTGCCTGTTTCCCTGTTCGACATGCTCGAGTGGCCTGATTGTGTTGAGTGGGCGGGAACCGCGGTCGGGGTCGACATCGGAATCAAAAGTCGGAGTAAGAGAGCAGGGAGGGAGGAGGGGAGACGTAGAAAAACCCAACGCAAAAAAAGGGGCCCCTTTCCGGTTCAGCAGGTCAGACGCGAGACCGGAGATGAGAGAAGTCTTTAGTTAGTCTGTCTGTCAATTTGCAATAGCCGCCCTTTCTTCCACATGTTGCGACACACTCGACAGGCTTGAAGTGAGAAAAAGCGGCTCACTGGGCACAGTCAAGGAGGTCAAGACAGACATGCCTCCCAAGACCTGGGCGTATTTGTTACACATATTGTGTCAGCTGTCAAGCCTCAGCCCAGATTTATTCATTTGTGGTACATTCTGAACAGTTCGCTGAACCCAACGCCTCAAAGCACCTTCATCTCCGTCGTATCGTAGCGTAGCGTAATCGTCGTCGTTTCTCTTCCAACCCTCAGCTCTCTTCAAATAGCCAGGCCAACGACTCGGGCCAGTCGTTATCTGACTTTTCGTTGTTGGTCATCTTCATTCTCCATTTCCGGTACCCTTTCCTGGCAAGTCGTTGGTCAAACTCTTGTTTGCACCCGGCACACCAACGCTCCCTCGGTAGAGGTCTTTCGTATGCCAGACCTAGAATGTATGTTCGCCGGGAACAATTGGGCACCCAACAGGATGAGCATCTCGCTTCTCGGCGGCTCTTGGGTAAGGGGATGTCGTCGAGAGCGTGCCATCGGGACTCTTGATGGCTGGCCTTGACCATACCGGTGCCAGTCTTCTTGTTGTCTTTGTGCTCTTTCCACTCGATCAAAGCGGCCTTCCGCTCTGACAGGCCTCCTGCGAATGTGAAGCTGGGAGCCCACCACTTCCTCCTCCCGCGATCGCGACTCGCATGGCGTCGTCTTCGCGTCATTCGCTTCCGTCCTCGCCAGTTCTCCACGACTTCGGCAATTCTCCGTTCTAAGCCGTCGATTTCCATCAGATCCTCCTCTCGCCGTCGTTGCTCCTCGAGTTCGAAGCATGTAACACAACCCCACCACAACTCAAAGGTCGAACTGCCACATGAGGAACAGACCCCAACCTCCTCGTCTGGATTAACGAGACTTTGGCCTTCAAGCATCCACCGACGAAGTCTGCGGCCTTTGCTCGACTTGCGGACTGTATCGCTCTTCTTGACCCAATTCTCCCTCCACCATTCTCCCTCGATGTCGCGATATCGGCGCATGCAGTCCTTACATAGCCTATTTTGGGCGAATTTGGCTCCGAGTCCGGTGCCGCGATTGCTCATTCTCTCGACAAAGCACCACAAAGGTTTTTCCTCGAGGCAGCCGTAGCATCGGAGTTCTCTAGCAGGACGCTCGATCAACCGGAAGTCGAAGGCAGCGTAGAGTAAATCCCATAGGTGGCCAAGTCGCTGTCTTGGATACATGGATCTGTACTCTCGATACTGCTGCGCCTCATTCTCAAGGCTTTCCTTAACCAGCTTGGAACGAACGCGGCGGACGACTTCGGTCGGAAGCATCTCGTAGAATAGGTGACATGTTTGTCGAAGAGCGAGTAAAGTGTCAAAGTCGACGTAGGTAGTGGCAAGGAGGAAATGCAGATCGCGAGGTAAGATGGAGAGGAAGGCACTCTTTTGCGCCCCGCCCACGGTTCGATCCTGCTGAGGTTTGTTCGCCGACAACAGGGTCGATATGTACGCACGTTGCTTCGCTTTCCAGATCAAAGAGGTCTGATGTTGCATCTTCATCATTTCGGGAATTTGGCCTGCCACGTTCCGCTCTGTGACGGTGACTCTGGCAGTCTCCTTTCGGTTGTCCGGCAACTGTTCATCGGAGGTGTTTCGGGAAGATTCACCACTGGTTCCTCCTGAACGAAACGACGATTTCGAAGGCGGTGCGAGGCACGAATGACTCCCCCCAAGCAACTGAGAGCATTGCTCCATGGTTCGTCAATCGGAGGAAGTTGGTGGTTGGACTCACAGTGAGTGAATGGCGGTGTCGCTGGTGTGATAGGGTAGCATGAAGAAATACAGGACTGTTGAAGATTCCCAAACACTCTTGGACACAGTGTCGGATGGAGATGACCCAAGGCAACAATGTTTGCCAATTACACACAGTGAAAAGTAGGGAACCGTGTCTTTGTCAGGTTGAGAACAAGGCAACAATCATAAACAAGTAATACCATGAACGCGCCTGCACGAACCAGTCAACAACAGTGAGGGCAAATTGAACAGGAAATGACAACTCTGGTATCAAACGGAGCAACGTCGCTCTTCAAGAATCGTGCAAATACTGATGGAAGGGAAGGGATGCTAGATGTTTTCAAAGAGTGATGGGTGATGGGTGAGATGGTCAAGATGGTGAAGGTCCAGTGAAGGTTGGAAAAAGCGGGGAGGGTTGGAGGGGGGGAAGAGGAAGAGAGGAATCCGTCGATAGCGACGGAGACAGCGATGATGAGATGGAGGAGTGGATGAATGGACGGATGGGCATGCATAGCCCTGGCACCCTAGTCCGTTCCGTAGCTTGGGTGATGCAAGTACGACGTGCTTGTAAGGGGGTTCCCAATGTTTTCCCTTCTTTCTCAATCCCGGGACGCGAATCGATCATGTTTTGGGGCTTTGTCGATGACGGAGGGGGATGGGCTGTAGGTGGTGCTGGTGGTGCTGGGGACTTCATGGGCTGATGCAGGGGGTTTCAAGGGTTTCCAGGGGCGAATGAGAGGGGGGCATAACGACTGGTTTCCATTGACACGGTGACTTGTTAGGGTGGGTGGATGGTCACTGGCACCCCAGAGGCTCTCAGAGGCACGCAGTAGCCAACCAGGCCCCCGTGACGACCAGGCGCCACCAGCGTGACAAAAGACTCCGGGGCCACCAGGGGTTTCTTCTCGTTAAGCCAATGCTGGCAATCTTAGCGAGTCGCAGCCGCCACCAGTCGCCTTCTATGAGCTAGACTTACTTATTTGGTGCTCTCCGAACTTTTGCAATTAGTTAAGCCTGCGAGCCCATCAGCCCAAGCGGGTTCCTAGTCACCCCCAAACAAGTTTCTAACTCAGCCACATTTCTCTCTGAACCACCCAGCAAGCCAGGAACCACAGAAACACATAAGCCGCAGGAATAATCCAACACCGCGACACTGGCACTCCCGACGCTCACAGTGCCACGTTCGTGCCTTGCCCAGACACTTGGATCCTTGACAGGAAGAATCAAACAAAAACAAATAAAAACTCGACATCGGCTAGTATCTGCAGCCTTATAGCCAGCGCCGCGCCCTTCCGCTATGAATTTCGATCACGCTGTTCAAGCCTCATACTGGTACACATACATGAGCAGTGACACATGGACCACAGTATCCTGGAGTCTACAGTAGATCCCCACACCCTAACTCGTTCTCCACCTTGGGGATATGCAAATGTGGCGAACCAAACAAAAAACATGGCCTACATCATCGACATTAATGAGTTCGTTGCATACGCCTGTGATTCTGTCAGTCGCATGCCAATTGTGGATGTTAGGGCACTGGTCAATCAACTCACCATGGGCTTGATATCAGGATGAGGGACGGCTTCAAACTGGTGATACTCTAACTTCAGGTCAGGCCCGATGTTGATGTATGCTCCCTTGTTCTCTGTCGTGTCGCAGTATTTGGGCGCAGAGAAGACTACAGGGACATATGTCAGTGGCCAGCACAGTTGACTTGTTCCAGAAAACATACCAGTGATGCACTTGCCGTCATGCTCAACCTCGTAGCCATCCATCCGCACCTCGTGGCTTCGAATCACAGCCTCGAGGTTGTTGTTTTCACAGAATTTCTTCGTCACATCGGGGCCAAACTGCAGCCCGACTCCTCGCTTACTAGGGCCTCTACCATTTTGAGGTTGAGGATCCGTCCAGAGCATTTCCATCATAAGCCCAGACTGGCCAGGCTGCCGCTGCACGTGGCGATCGAGTTTGCGGATGTCGTCTAGCGTAACTTTATCGTCCGAAAATAGCCCGCCATGGAGTGTAAGGTATTTCTTCCCGATCAATGTAGCCAACGGTAGTGCCGAGAACGACTCAGAGAACAGCTTGAATGTCTTCTCATTGTATTTGGCTTTGCATTCGCCTTCAAAACCATACACTCGGTTCATGTCGTCCGTCTCGTGGTTGCCCCTATTCAAAAAGAAGGTGGTAGGTCGCAGCCACTTGTAGGCATAGAGGAGTAGGGCGATTTCCGTCGACCATGATCCTCGATCCACAAAGTCGCCGTTGAATAGGTAGGCATGCCTGTCCGTCGGGAAGCCGTTGAGCCGGAAGATCTCCAGCAAGTCGAAAAACTGGCCGTGGGTATCCCCGCAGACCGTGAGTTTGGTGTCCGGAGCCACGTCCATTTCGACCATGGTGGGCTCGTCGTACACGATATCTCTCACGGCCTTGATGATCTGAAATACATATTTCTTATGGATCTTCTTGCCGTTCTTGAATCGCTCGATCATATCATCGATAAACTCCTGCGTCATTTCGTTCCCCAGCCTGACACCATCGTATTTCTCATCCACCTCTATTGAGTCCAAGTCCAGTCCTTCGAATGCTGACGGAGGATCTTCCACTTCGATCGCCTTCAAGAACTGTATCTTCTTCACCAACTTCTCACACTCTGCCAGTTTAAGTCTTGCGTCTTTGTTGTTGGGCTCCTTGCGGCAGACTGTCTTGAAATCTCGGAGGGCATCTTGAGAGTTGAGAATGGCAGTGTTGGCAACCGCTCGTCTCCAATATGCCTATATAAAACAACTCAGTGACCGGGGCCCAGAGTAGTAATAGTTTGACAGTCATACCTTGATGTAATCTTTGTCGAGTTCGATCGCTTTGGTAGCGTCAGCAATGGCATAGCCGTAGGCTTCAAGCTTGATGTTGGCCTGTGCTCGGTTGCAATAGAACGACGGGTCTGCGTCGTACTTTTCTATCGCCTTGGTGTAATAGTCGATAGCAGAGGGCCAGTCATGTTGCGCAAAGGCCTGATTGCCCTTGACTTTGAGGGCGGTTGCAGCGGCCTTGTCTGCGGCGAGAGTCGAGGCCATAGCCGAAGAGATTGGGGCTGATTCGGCCGAGTAAATACAAGAGGACAGGTGCGGGGGAATAGGTCCACGAGTGTTATCGTATCATGCCGGTGGTTTGGGCGAAACGTGTCGAGGAATGGGTGGTCGAGTGTTCACTTGCCTCGTTTTTTTTTGTCGCGGGCCGGCTGCAAAGTCGAGAACTTTCGGAGAAGACGACGGAACCTCGCCAGACCTGCTGTCTCAGGCCCCAAAATGGGCCTCAGATCTCCTCGAGGTCGTTAAGTGACAGCTTAGCTCCGCGCTATCGGCAGATCAGCCGAAACCTTAATTGGGACAATTCGACTTTGCACTTTGTAGCACCCCTGCGTTAGTTGATCTTTGCGTCCTCATCAAGTGCATTCATCACCACTCCCCAAATCCTCATCATGGCCGGCCGCGGCAGTCGGACACGCGCCTGTATGGTCTGCTCCATCGTCCAACCCGCCACCGTAAGCAGCGACGTTGACGTTCCCTATCCTTTTCAAACGATTGACGTGGAACCGCAGGATTTCTACCGTAACGGTTGCCCCAACTGCGAAGAGATCTTGGGCCTACGAAACTCTCAAGATGCGATCCAAGAATGCACTTCCCAAGTTTTCGAAGGCTTGATTGCCATGGGAGACCCCAAGACCTCCTGGGTAGCCCGATGGCAGCGCCTGACCGATTACGTGCCGGGAATATATGCGGTCAAAGTCGTGGGAACGTTGCCGAGAGAAATTATCGATTCGCTGGAGGACAATGGCATCAAATATGTTCCAAGAGATGGAAGTGCGATGGAGGAGGACAGTGTGGCTGCCTCATGATGCGCAGAGAATCCAGCTCGATTGCAAAGAATGGTTTACAAGATCCCTTGGCCCCGATGATCAGTGACACCAGAAGTGACGGATCCACCCGAAACATCACTCCTCGCAGAGCTTTCGAGTGAACGGTACACGGATTGATGGAATGACTTTTTTATTCATGCGTTACGATACCTCCCCTATTTGGGACCACCCACAACAGATTTGCGCAGATTTGCGCCAAACGCTACAAAGTTAAGCCACTGGGCGACGTACTCCTTCATAATCCATACAAATTCTGCGCCTTCACGGTTCACAAAGACTTGGCTAATTTCTCAAAAGCATCAAGCAGAATGTCAGCATGGTGCTTCTGGAATATCAACATCGGCCTCAACCTTACGGCCGATGCACCACTGCCTCCAATGTTGATACCGAATGTCTTTGCCTTGGCCAGGAATTCGTCCCGTTTGGGGTTATCAAAGGCGATAAAGGTGCCTTGCCCTTTCCCTCGGAGGTTTTGGAATTGTTGAGGATATTGTTGAGCGAGCCTTTCAATGCCTGCGTATAGGTAGTCACCCACCGCCGCTGTATTCTCCACCAGATTCAATCTCTCAATTTCATTGATGATGGCCCGGAAAAGGATTGCACGAGCTGGGTCGCCCATCCATGTGTTGAACTGTCGATAGGGCTTATTCGGTCGCAAGTCTGGGTTGCCAAAGTAGTATCCTGCCGTCTGTGCTTTCTTGGAGAATGTCACCATGTCCGGTGGATCTTCCAAGTTCCAGTGATCGTGAGCCCAGAATTTACCCGTCGCACCAACACCAGTCTGCACTTCGTCGACAATCAAGAGAACATTGTTGCGGCGGGTGATTTCTCGTAGACCTCTGAAGAAGGCGGGACTCGCGTGGTTGTCGCCACCTTCAGACTGGATGGGTTCGACGATCACAGCTGCCACGGGATTGTGGTATGTTTTGATGATATGTTCAGCTTCTTCCAGGCATCTCTTTTCTTCCGCCGCATTTTCCTCCGCGTATTGTTCGAGTGGGTACTTTAGAGAGGGGAAGGAGCACTGAGGCCAGTCAAAGGCTGGGATATCGATTTTGTGGATAGGCTTGCTGCGCGTGGTCGATAGGGTCCCAAATAGACGGCCGTGGAAGGCAGTTTTGAATGACATGATTGACATATCAGGGGAACCAGGCTTCTGATTCTTCATTGTGCTCTCGATCTCTTCAGCAGTGAACTCAACATCGCGACCACCACGCTCTTGTTGTCGCTTCCACATGAAGGCTGCTTTGAAGGCGGTCTCGTTGGCGTCAGAACCAGCCGTCGCAGTGAAGACCTGGTCCAGGCCCTTGGGCGCCACCCGAAGAATACCGGTCTGGAGAATGGAGGCCCAGTCGTGCGAAGGAAAGTTGCCCAACGCGGGTCGGTTGATGATCGCGGAGGCCATCTCTGGGCTAGTAGCGGCGAGCAGTAGGGAAGGGTTGTTGTAACCGACAGGGATGGAGGCAATCTGGGCATACACATCGAGCAGCACGTTTCCATCAGGATCAGCTATATAGTTGGCGTAACTCTGTTGGTAGTTTGCCAGCATGTTGAGACTGCGAGTATCGAATACTTTGTGAAGCTCTGCAATAGCTTTTTGACTCTGAGGTCCCGGGATAGGCGTGACTACCGTCGGCCCAACGGGCTCATCGGGAAAGAATGCTGTTTCCATTGAAGGAGACTCGACGTGAGCCTGGGCTACGGCGGTAGCTATGCGCTTCTCAGGACTTGTCGCCAAAGCTCGAAAAGGAGTTGGTCTCAAGAGAGATTGGGCCGGGGTTGCTAGACGACTGACACTGCGCAGCCCGGCCGAGGCACGCAGGAAGGACGCCATTGCTCGTGTGCAATCAAGCTTTGTGGACGTTGATCTGTGTAACTGTAAATGGTGCGGGGTGGAAGACTGTGCGAGCAGGCCCGCGTCTTGACGCAAGATGTGAAAGAGCGAAGTTCAAACAACCTGTAGTCTTGAATCACTCCTCACAATATAGGAGCCAGGTTCCAGGTCGGAGGGTATTATTCTGGGGGGGAGAAGGTTTTTAATTACTGGATCATCATGTCGAAAATGAAGGGCGCGATGCACCAGGGGGGCAGGAACGAACAAAATGCGGAGAAGCACGCCGCACATGCCTCATTGGAGGCTCGGATATCCTCGCACCTCAGCCTGCGCAAATCAGCGCCTATTGCGCTCCCCCACCGGTACAACTGGAGTCTTTGATAGCTGCTTTAGGAAACCCGATGCGGCATTCAAGACGTTTGAATGAAGGGTCTGCTTTGGAGGCAATATACGGTGGAGGTAAGAGCAAGAGACTTGAAGGCCGAGAGGATATCTCTTGTGAAAAAAGCGTGGAGAAGTATTCCCTGTATATGTTTCTTGGAATCCTATCCTGGATCCAATGTATTTTTATGGCAAATCCTCTCTATCCTCTGCGCTCAAGATTATCCATCACCTGCTCGTCACTTAATTCCTCCTGGCCCGGAGCTCGATCAGCTTGCGGGCCATCTGATGCACCCTTCACAAAGTCTGACGGCTGGACTTTGTGCTCCGTCATCCTCGTTGAGCCCTTGGCAAATGGGTCGTGAGTGACACCGCCAGGCACCGAATGAAGTCGTTTGGAATCAACTTGGGAGGGAAGAGAGTCTCCCGTTCCAGTCAGAATGTCATTGGCGATAGTGTCTCTGGTGTTCTGAAAACAGTCAGCTTGAGCGATGGTCAATGTCATGTTGAACTGTGACTCACTCTAGGAATGTCACCTGAGTTGGTCGCAGCCTCTGCAAGTGTCCGGCCACCAAGGGCATTAGGGTCTATTTTGGAGGCTATTTGGTCTGGGCGTGCTTTGGAAGGGATGTATCTGGGCTCTGCTGCGTCGTCTGGAACCTTGGTGCCTTTCTGTGCCATGTCGAAGAGGTCACCACCGCTATCTCGACCGGATTGAGCCATGGTGGATTTGGAAATGGTCGCGGTTTAACGTTGAGATTTCGAGTTAGCAATTCAGAAACCTAGCAACAGTGTGAGATGAGGGAGTTCAGAATCACAAGGCGGCAGATTCTTCCAGAGAATTTATTGCTCATCAAGGTCACCTTTGAGCTCAGAGATCAAACATTATCGTCATACAGCGGGGATGATGATGTCACGAAACTTGCCGCTGATGTGGATGATGTCTCTGGCATGCTTGTAGAATTGCTGCGTAGATGTCAGATTGATATAGAGTGATGGGCATCGAACTCCCATATCTGTCTTTGCATGAATGTATCGATAGACGAAGAAGCAGTAATGGTGAACATGAGTTGACTTCTCTAGCGTGGATTCCGTCAACATTTTAGCTAGCTTCCTCTCTGGGCTCAATAATGGGCTGCGTCTCCCCGCAGTCCGTCGAGTTGCCGAGGCAAAGAGCTTTGTACCTCGTAATCAGCGATGAGACAGAATCGATTGAAAATGACATCTACTTCTTAATCTCAGCTTCTTCGCGGTACATAATACTTGAAGCAATCGAGTTTGTCTAGTACTTCGAAGAATTATCGCTGAGCTACCGAATCGAATCCTCTTGTTCCCTGATATTTTCTGACCGTCGAGCAAAGATGGCCGGTCCGAACAACGGAATCGTTCTATATCACTACTCATTCTCCCCATTTGCCAGGAGAATCCTGTGGTATCTCAGCCTCAGAAGTTTGGACTATGCTGAGTGTGTAAGTGATCATCTGCCATCTGACAGTCCTCTTTGCCTGGACCGAGCGAGCGCTCACTCACGATGGGTGTAGAAACAACCGCCGGTCATGCCTCGACCGGATCTCAGTGCCTTGGGTGTCAAGTACAGAAGAATCCCTGTAATGACCATCGGCCGTGATGTCTACTGCGACAGTCGCATCATCCTTCGCAAACTGGAAGAGTTGTTCCCAGAGGGCGCTCTGGGTGCATCAAGCGGCGAAGAGAAGGCCATTGAGAAATTTCTGGAGATCTGGAGCATAGAGGGAGGGCTCTTCACACGGGCATCACAGCTGATCCCGACAAGCATGCCGCTTTTGAACGACCCCAAATTCACCAAAGACCGAGAAGAGTATTCTGGCCGACCATGGAGCAAGGAACACATTGCCGAGAATAGACCGGAGGCTTTGGCAGCCATCAGAAGCGGATTTAAGTTCCTCGAGACCACTTTGCTGGCT